AACCAACCAACCAACCTAAACCCCAAATCCTAAGCATTTAGTCCGCAAAGCCTTACCAGGCCCAGGTCCCACTGACCACGCCCAGTACAATGGCGAGTCTGGACTCGAGAAGCCGCACCAGCAGCCTGGAGGGTCGACGCAAGGCGGGTCGAAGAGTTTAGGGCTCCCTGCAGGGGTATTGTAAAGTGGTTCCTTTCAGAGTTTAGGGTTTAGGCTCCTTCCAGGGTTTAGTCTTTTTAGAGTTTAGGGTTTAGTCCTTTCAGGGTTTAGGGTTTTAGTATAGGGTCCTTCTAGGGTTTAGGGTTTAGCGTCCTTTTAGGGTTTTGGGTGCTTTTGGGTCCTTTTCGGGTTTAGGGTTTAGGGTCCTTTCAGGGTTTAGGGTTTAGGGTCCTTTCAGGGTTTAGGGTTTAAGCCCTAAACCCTACAACCTAAAACCCCCTACCCTAAACCCTAAACCCTATACCCTAAGCCCTATAATCCACTTTCGGTTATTTCTTGCCGGGGTTTTGGTGCAAGGCCCAGTCTGGGATGTACGGAGGCTCCTAGCCCAAGCCCTGCTCCAAGCATCAGGGACTAAGTAGCTAGGGTCATGCTGTTGATGCTATAAGTCCTACGTTACCTTATTAAGGACCCTAACCTATGGGAATTATGGTATATTCCTTGTTATGGGTAATGCTTTATTTATTATATCATCGGCCGCAAGTGAGGTAACTATGCGAAACAATTACTTACAAGCGCGCTGAAGCTTTGATCCTACTAAGTCCCATGTGCCTCCACGTGAACCCGAAGCCGCAATAAACGTCTCCTGAACACGAAGAAGTCTGTCTTGCTTGTGAAAAAGAGGAGGTCTTCGAATGTCCAAACCCTACCCCCAAGGCCTGCCTAGACCCTCCATTGCAGTATCGCTGGATGGTTCCTAAATCCCTAAACCCTAACCCCTAAACCCAGCACCAAAAGGTAAGCAAAAAAGGTACTGCATGGGGGGCAAGCTACAGCACAGGGGACTCTGGGGCAGGAGACCACGCAGACGCCAAAGGGCGCTCGCCACTTGCCTGGGGGACGGGGGGTTTAGGCTTTCCAGCTTAGGGTTCAGGACTTTGGACACGATTGAACTAAGGCCCCTAAGCTACCCCCTTTCTCAGCACCTCCCCTCCCCCTCCTGCAGACTTCAGGTTGGAAAGGGTTTAGGTTTTGGTTCGGTAGCCGTTATAGCTGGGACAGCAGAGCTCGATAGTCAGAAAGGCTCCAGGCAGTTCGAGCCCACCTTACCACTGCGCACAAGCTACATCCCTTTTGTTTTGCAGTCGCCCCAAACCCTGGGCGGAGTTGCAATTCAAGCACGGAAGAATCAGAATATAATGGTGAGCTTTGCGGCTTCAAATGTAGGGTTGAGGATTAGGGGTTTAGGGTTTCAGCGTTTAGGGTTTAGGGTTATAATACGCTACTCTTCTGAGAACTAGCTAGGGTTAGGAAGCACAGCATGAGGTTTTAGCTTTACCGACCAAATCCTAAAACTCTGAAGCTCTGTAAATCGACCCCTAAACCCTAAGCAAAATTGATGGCCCCGAACCCTATATACCGTGAACCCAAACCCCAAACCCCAATCTTTATTCAACCTCAGTCATAAGCCTTATTTATCGGCCCTGTTCAGAGCCCTACGAACCGCAGAAAACTGAAGGCCGTAGCACTGCGAGGCACGCTAGGCACCCCGCGCACTGCCACGGCGGCCACGGTGGGAGCTGCGAACACCGGCAACAGCGCCGGCTCGGGCAAGGCGGCTACCGAGGTTTAGGGCTTAGGGTAGTTTAGAATTCAGGATTCAAGAACTGCTAATACACGGGTACTACAAGGTGTTATACGGACAGTAGAAGGGTACTTTCAGGCTACGATAAGGGGACTATCATGCCCTACTTGTTTGGGTGGTCGCATTTCAATTCCTGCTGTAGAGTTTCTTCGCAGCCTTACAGACAACTAGGCTTTGTGGGTTAGGGGTAAAGACCCCAAACAGCACCCAAGCGAATCCCCGAGCGCTGAATTGGAGACCTTGAACCCTAAACCCTTACCTCCCGGCCAGACTCCAGTAACCCTTGCAGGAAACCCTTGCAGGCACCCAGCATATCCCTGGAAGTGACAGAGACGAGCAAACAGCAGGAGCTCCCGGAACCCTAAACCCCAAACCCAAAGCAACCCTAGCAGGCCTGAAAGGGACCCGAAACCCTGAACCCTAGACTGTAAACCCTAAGCCCTAACAAACCTAAACCACCCCAGACTCGACCAAAAGCAAGCAGGAAGCAGCGACTCCTAAGCTTTGAACTCTATAAGCCTTATGGCACTAAACGTCGTAAACCCTGAACCTTACACCCTACACCCATAACCCTTAAACCCTAAGCCTTAAACCCTAAACCTTGAAGTCTAAACCTGAAACCCTAAACCCCTATAAACCTTAAACCCTGAACCTTAAACCCTAAACCCCTATACCTTAAACAACGCAGCCTATAAACCTTAAACCCTGAACCTTAAACCCTAGACCCCTAAGCCAGCTTAAACCCCAACCCCTAACCACATCGCCTCCCCCCTATACACCTTAAACCCTGAACCTTTAAACCTGAAAAAAAAAACAACGAAGCTTAAACCCCAAACCCCTAACCACATCGCCTCCCAGGACCGGCGGACCGAGGCGAGGACCGAGCCGCTCGCGGCGATGCCTTCGCTGCCACCGGCGAGAAGATCTCGCGGCCGGGAGGCGCCGTTTTGGGCTTTTTAGGGGCTCATAGAGGTCCCTATAAACCCTTTTAAGGGTTTAGGGCTTAGGGGTTTAGGGTCTAGGGTTTAGGCTTTAGGGTTCAGGGGTTTAGGGTCTAGGGTTCAGGGTTTAGGGTTCAGGGGTTTAGGGTCTAGGGTTTAGGGTTCAGGGGTTTAGGGTTTAGGGTTCAGGGTCTTTGGTACCCTAAAATCTCAACCCTAAA